TTCTCCAATACCGAATAGTCCCTCTGGATCTGTGACATTTGAGAATCCTTGCGCTGGCATTTCTCAAAATACCTCAAGAGGGGCTTAACGATTGGATAACACACAGAAGCACACTCGTCCTCTTGTTCTTCCGAAAGGTAGCAGGACTGTGGAATTTTAATAATAATTCATTTTCGAAATAAAAACAATCCAAACGGCTATTACCTCTTCCGATCCAAGGGCAGCGGAAATAAAAACAGTTGCAGAGATTATGACCACTCGCAGCATCATTTTCGTATTTTTTTTTGTGTTAAGAATAAAATTTCTTGAAAAATTACTTAATTTCACTTCATTTAATTAAGAACTGATGCTGAGAGACTCTTGGCTCCGGCTTTTTATAGCATCTTTGAGGTTCCGATAAGGAGATCAGTCATCGTGCGAGTGCTTTTTCGGAATTGGGACCTTAAGTGCAAATCTACTAAAAAGTAAAAAAAATCCTAAAGATCGAGTACATAGGGATGTGTTGTCGAAGGTCGCAAAACATTTCGATAGCAACAAGAACTTGTTTATATTTTTAAATTCTTCTTAGAAGTACTTACTCCTAGAGGCTTTTGCAAAACATTTATATGTATGTTGCAAAAAAAAGCAATAAATAAACAACGAAATAAGAGATAGACTCTTAGACTCTAAAAGATAAGACTATTCTGCTACTACTGTAGTATTTTCCTTGGTGAACAAGTCTATCTTAATTTTTTGCGGGTTTTTGTCCATTTCTATGATTAGAACAATGATATTAAAATGAATTTAAACATTCCTTTTGGTTGCTTTATGCAATAAATACTATATATACATATTTATATATATTTATGTTCTTGTCGCTACTTAATTGTTTTCCGACCTTTAACATCACATCCACTTTATTCCACATGACAGCTCTCCAATTATGTAGACAGTACTAGCAAAGATTATAAAGTACCTCAAGAACATTTACATAAGCATAGAAGAAGGGCTACAGAAGGGTTTCGTAAAAATACTAATGACGATTAGGTTACATACGCTGAGGCTCAAGGTTAGCTTTCTTCCCGTTCCTCTTTTAATTTTCTTAATTACCTAAGAACTCCTTTTTTTCTATACTGTTTCGAGAATTACTTGGTGGAATTTTTCGGATCTTTACTCTACACGTGCTATTGTAACTGATAAGAGAGGGCACATGCCCTTGTGATCCCGGCTTCGGACTATTTGTTATTTAGATTTCTAGCTAATAGGAACAATACAAAATTTGAAATTTATTGTGGGAGTAGGTTCGGGTAGGTTGAGGCGAGGTCTGTTAGATCCATGAGTGCTGCTGCACCCAGGATTTGGAGTCGGCTGTGCCCCAGCGCAAGAAAATAATACAGGAGGTGCGCTACTGTCTCATAGTGTGGCACCGCAAGTCTAGCCGCGTGTGGGGGCTAAGGCTATTTGAGAGTTTCTTGCCTGAAAAGTACTTGAGTAAAATTAAATATCCCAGTGGTCTGGAAAAAGCGAAATTTTCCTTAATACTATTTATTATATGGAAAATACTACCACTTTCTTTAAGAAAAATAACCAGTTCCGTCTGATTTTAAGATTTTTAATTTGCTCCTGTTCTGGGCGTCATAAATCATCCAAATCTGTCCATTAATGTATTGCATTTTTTGTCAACCCCACAGACGAGTCTAAAGTTTTTTTTTACACACTAGTAACCTAATGAATATTTAACATAATGGTATTTATTTTTTACTCAAAAATAAAACTCTTCTCAAGTTAAAACATTTGTTTTATCCTTGGGCATAAGGCAAGAACTAATGTATTTCCTTTCTCCACAAACAACAAATTAACAACAAAATCGAGAAAATTATTAGGGGAATGTTGGGTTTTATTTTTTTTTATCAAAAAATGTTCATTTATTCATTAACACAAACTTTGTACTTTATAATCTTTGGCACTAGCCAATCTTATCGGAGGCTAATCTTATCGGAAACTGCGAAGCTCAATAAAGTTATGGCAAAATATTAGAAATAGAAATCAAAGCATAATTTGGTTTGTATTATATTTTATTTTAAGAGGGGGCTAAGGTTGTTTTCGTTATTCTAAGTTATTCTAGGGGGCTAGGTTCAATATTCAAAAAATATTTTGGGTTTTTTATAACATTGCAGACTGTATTATGGTATAATTTTGGTCAAAAGTCTTATGGTTAGCTTTTCTTTCTTGTTTTATTTTTTGGGAAATTTTAAAAAATTAAGCGACTTGTAGGTAATCTCCGGAACCGCCTTGAAATTGCAGGTTTAATCAAAATATATATGCCTATTTATAAACAGGAAAGGAAAGCTAACGGGCGGAGCCAAAGTTGATATACCCTGGCAGTTATGATTGGATATACAGCGCAAATATAGGATATAGTTGGCTGATCCTTATAAGAATTTCATTACCAGCCAATTTTTTATAATACAAATTTTGAAAAATATTCCCAAGCTTCTGTCTTTTTGACCAAAATTATAATACGCTCTGCAAGGGGTATAGGACACCCCTCTCATTAGCGAAACAGAAACGCAATTCGGCAACAGCACTTCTGATTTGTCAGACCCACAGATCCTTGCAGCTAAATGGGTCCTTTTGGTAATTGTTCGCCTAATTGGTTGCATCGAACATCGTTTGGTTTTCGGCCACCACTTTTCACCGCTACTGCTTGCCATTTTGGCCAAGTTCCTTTTGCCTTTTCGGTTTGCGTTTTGGTATTTGGTTTTTGATTTTAGGTCTCTTGTCCACAAGAATTATCGGCCATGTGGCACAATTTCTAGTTTTCCATTTTTCGGTCGGCCGGAGTGGCAAGATTTTGACCAATTTCTGACCATTTTAGCCAGGGTAAGCGGTGAGGTCGGTATTAAGCCTTCAGGTCAGTTGGCTTTGCCGGCGATTTCAACCTCAGAGTTCCATGTCCTTTCTGGTCAATTATGAGAGGCAATTAACACGGCAAGTGCAGTGAGAAATGTTTTACTCTGAAATAAGAGCAAAAGATATTAATAGTTATTCTTTTAATAGATATGAATAGATATTACCTCTCACAGAATCTATGGTTAATCTTATTTTATTTGTGGCTTTGCTTTCAGTGTATAACGCAGCTAATCAGCAGCAAACAGGTGAGGCAAATGGTGGCAAGAATCCGAGGCACGCGGCTAATTGGAGGACTTGTTGCTACCGCAATTTCTCATTTCTCCGGCAGGTGGGCCAAGTGCGAGAAAACCTTTGGCCAATGTCTGGAATTTGATTTGCTGGCAGCTAACTGGGTGAGTGGATGACTGGATGAGTGGGTGACTGGATGACTGGGTGGGCTTCCCGCAAAATGTTTCCTAAGCGCCTAGCCCATGAGAACCAAATGAGGCAGAAAAGCTGATGAATTCTAAAGTATTCTGGGGGTTGGGCGTGGAAATGATTTAGTTTTGATCTCGGTATATGGGTAGCTCCTCGAAAACTTAATTATTCCACTCAAGCATACAGGCATAAAGAATGCAACATTTAAACAAGAAATCCAATTATTGAGATAAAAAGTGAGCCTCATAAATTTCGGAATAAATTTCCCGTAAATGCAGATTCACTCAACTAAAGTGGTTGCAATTTTTTGTTTTTTTTTTTTTGTGAGCTCCCTGTAACCCCTAGTGCCAGCACGCCCATGGCCGACATCCAATTATCGAAACAAGTGCGCCTATAAATTCCCAGTTTAAAAAGAAAGTGCCTGGCGAAATTTATGATAATTGTGAAATATTGTGCCAAAACACTCGGCAGGAGCGAGAGTGAGAGGTGTTTGGTTTTATTTCATACCTCGTACTAGGTGTACCTGGTATATGGTTTGTGCTTCTGATGGATATACCTTTTTATTTCTGTTTACTGAGGAGGGATTTAAAAAAACATAGGTATTAGATGCTAAATATTTTATTATAAGAAACATACATATATCATTATTCATTAGACTTTTATGATTCTGATGCCACCTATTTACTTCAAGTATCTCTGAAGGATAAGCCAATAAAAAACTAGGTCTCAGATCTATGTGTGTCTTATAGTTCAGACGCTATATAATATATGTATCATACAAAAGATAGACATCTCTACATAAGATTTTTAGGTTTCTAATGTATCTAAATCTAGGTATAAAGTCTATGTTATACAAATGGTTTTTATGTTTCTCATGAATAGATCTATTTATTTAAGAATAATTAAAAGGAATATGAAAGAAACAATTTTTAGATAGGACCTTCAAAAGATAGACTTTTCCACATAAGGCTTGTGACCTGTTGGCTTTCTAAAGCTGCGACTCATCCATTCCCTCAACTGTATCGGGTACCTTATAGTTCAGAAACTGGATTTCCTGTTTCTGTCTGCAGGTGTTGCAGCCAAAAGTCTTCAGCATCTGAGGGAATATCCCCAAAGTGGTGATTTCAGTTAAGAGAGGTGGCAAAAAAGGATGGGGTGGTCAGGTCATTGCATTGATTTTTCCTCCTAGTAGTTGCTACTGCTGCTGCTGCTTCTGCTTTTTCTGCAGCTCTCGCTCTCAAGCAAATGTCATTGACCACACGGCGAACAACAAAGAGGCGTTGCAAACGGTAAAGGGGGGCGGTGGGCGGTGGTTTCTGGGCTGCGGCCAGTGGGCGATGGGCGGGTCTGGTCTGGTCTACTTGCCACAGTCAACAACCACCAAAAGTAATCATCGCAAACGTTGCTTTTGGGGCGTTTGGTGGGAGGTGGGAGTTAAGAGTGGGATGGAAATGGGATTCGGAATATGGTTGGACGTCGTAAGGACATCCAGCTGTGTGAGCTGCGACCGTCAAGGAAAACTAAATATGACGGCCTTTGCCCCCTGAACCGCCGATCCGCCTCGCCTCCCCAAGTATGCAACCCCTGCTGACCAAAGTCCGAGCTTCGAGCTGTTTCCCCGCCGAGAGAACTGCAAAGAGCAATGCGATTAACGTTTCAATATGCGACAGTTGCAGCGCGACTTTTCAACGATTCCACTGCAAGAAATAATGGTCCTTCAAAAGGATATACGACGAGGAGACTTCCACTTTATTTAAAAGTGTCTGCTGCACAATTAGGGTTGTGATCAGTCAGTGAGTTTTTCATTGCAATGTGGTCAAGTGTTGGAAATGTTTCAATTATTTTCTTGTAGTGTGGCTTGTCGTGTTAGTCCCGTTCTGAAGGCGGGGGGTGTTAATTTACCATACATGTGGCACGTTTCGTCTCATCTCGTTTTCGTATTTCGTTGTTGCCTTTTCTCGTTGCCTTCTCCTTCCGTTCTTGTTGTTGCTCTGACCTCCTGCGGTCCGGTGGTCCAGTGGTCCAGTGATGAGGAATCTGGATCCGGACCCCAAGAAAATCGCTGCGTTCATTCACAATCATATTCTAAGCTCCAGCGGGATTTGCGACGAAATTCTATCCCGCGTAAGTTTGGAAAGGGTTTACGCGGTGCAGAGATAGGCTCCTGCTCCGGCTCCTGTTCCTGGTCCGGCTCCTGCTCCGGCTCCTGTTCCTGGTCCGGCTCCTGCTCCTGCTCCGGTTCCTGTTCTTCCTCCTGCATTGGTTCCACCTTTTTGAGGATTGACTCGTGGCCTCCAGGCTTGGACTCCTCTGGCTTGGCCTCAGACTCCTCTGGATTGGCCTCGGAGTCCTCTGGGTTGGCCTCGGACTCCTCTGGGTTGGCCTCGGCCTCGGACTCCTCTGGATTGGCCTCGGACTCCATTGGCTTGGCTTCGGCCTCGGCCTCGGACTCGGAAATTGTCTCTATGAAAAAAAAGCGCGGTAAACAAGTCAGTTGCATACATTTTCTAGCGGGCAACTTAATCCAAAGAACTAATCAGTGGGAACAAAATGGAAAAACACACGTGGCTTATATAAGTTTAGCAGAGAATGGAAACTGGGAATAACGAGCAAAATGAACAGCATATTAGCCAATTGCACAATTGGCTGCAAAATCCTCAACAGGACACTTTTATTCGCCAGCACGTAAGCTTCTGTGTCACCCGGGTGACATTCGATGACAAGCAGAATGTTGCTTTTTCTTATCTAGATCTTACTACTTTCTATAACCTGGATGGAACTTACCCCTCTCAGTAGCGGATGGACGTGTTTTTGGTTCCTTGGAACCCTTCTTCATTTTGTTTTTATTTTTAAACTGCACTTTTTTCAGAATACGTATCATGCATCGCTTCACAAGTCCTTTTTTCTGCGGAAGTCGACTCTTGTAAGTATACTGGAAAGGCAAGCGCCTATATAGGCCTGTGGCGTTGTGGCGCTTAGCCATTTCAGCACGCAGCTTCTTATCCTGAATCAATAATCACAAAGATATTAGTTTTTCTTTTTTAATTTTTACTTTACAAACTGTTACCATTTTCTCCCGTTCGCTTTTGGTTTTTTTTTTCAGAATATGCTAGTGATATTCTAGTGATATATGATAGTGATGGAATTAGCAAAGCTGACAGTTAGTGATGTAGAGTTGGGGATTTTGTTAGGGAGGGTAGGGTTGTTATCGATTGAAACTTTCCTTAAAAATCGTTTATTACATGATACAATTATATACAATTGTATCATGTTTAATAAACTTAAATGGGCATGGTATTTTAAACATATTGGAATAATAGTAATCTAAGCTATGCATCCCTGATTGCAAGTTAATGTTGATTTATTTGCAAGAATGACTATATATTTTAAGAAAACTTTTATTTGATCTTATTTGTTGCCGCTTTTAAGTTCCTAAATGTAAAATTAAATTCGAAAATTCATTAGCTTCCGTGGGGCCAGTATCTGAGCCCCAAACCTAAAGAGTATTTTCCTCCCTCAGCCCTCAGCCTTTTTTTTTGGCGTTTTCGCATCTGGCGGCGTTGAGCTTGTTAGCTGTCAATTTACATCCCACGTTACGTGATGAATTACGTCGTTACGTGAAGTATGCAGGAGTGTGAGACTTGTGTGTATTATGGGTGTGTGTATGTGGGTCTGTGCGTGAGTTTTTCAATTAGCTCATTTCTAATAATTCAGCATGTTGAGGCAGCAGTCGAAAAACACCGCCGGCCATTGTAGCTATATCTATGTATATGTATATGCATATGTATATATGGGTTATAGTGGTTCAATGCGGTCGGTGGGCTTACAACAAAAGCCACACCTACGCACACCTCTTTGTGCGGATGTATGAGTAAAGTACAGGTACGGGCTGTGTGTGTGTGTGTTAGTCCCAGAGTCTCGTGGGCAATTCACCTGGCTAATTAATAACTAATAATGTGCAGTGCGCTTATTAGAGAAGCTTGCATACATTAGTCCGGGACTAATATCATTATACGCTGGCTGACGCCGCTTTGGCTATACAGCTATACAGCCGCCGCCTCCTCCTACCGCCCACCTGACCCTTTTGGGCCACCCTATTGCCGATGGCTCTGACAGAACAGCCTCCGCCAGGCGATGTTTTCCCCCACTGGAAATGTATAGAATCAGCTACTAAAAGCTACAGTCCGTAAAAGTTTTTAAATTATGTTAGAATACTGTCAACTATGTCTTTAATTACACTACAATAAAGTATTAACCTTTTATAGAAAGTAAATTGTTGAAACCGAAACGGAAGTTACCGAAAAAATTATAGAAATCATTTTTTTTTTTTCAGTGATAGTTCTTCTAGTTCCTGTCACGTACACACTGCAGGCTGTGCATTCATCCACACGCACATGTCCACAGTCCCTCAAACACGCCCAGGACACGCATACAAAGAAATGCAATTATGACAATCAAAGTGGACAAATGCAGTTTGCTGCCGAACGCAGCCGGGCCCCAATCGCAGGCCCATCAAAGGTGCAACTCTGGCTGACAAATGACAGGTGCACGGCCACTCAAAGTCACCTGGCCAGCCACCAACCGCCAAATACCAACCACCAACCGCCACTCGACACCCCCTCGAAAGGTATGCCAATGTACAAAGGTGCCAATATCTCAAAATTCCATTTCTCATATGAAAAAAAATTAAAACCACATTAATTATTATTAGATTGTGGTAACAATATTAAGTTGGCAATTGGACATTAAGTTCTTTTTGTCTTAAATTTGGCCATGGCATATTTCATTTTTATTTAAACCGTTTGGAACCACAAGAACTTTAATTCTTTACTTTATTAATTGTATATTAAGACGTAAAATTAGGGATATTTTTTTTTTGAGAAAGTTAAAAATAATTTATGGCAAAAAGGAGAAAACTGTTCAGGTTAATCTTAAAAAATTCAAAATAAGGTCAGAAAACAATAGTTTCTAAATATGAATTAACGATCCGAAAAATCAGGGAAATTTCGGGTAAATGAAATAAAAATGAATAAAAAATTTAAATTTATATATTTCTGTGTTACAAAAATTTTAAGCCCCATTCAATTTTATTGGTCAATATAATTTGGAAACAATCTTAAACACATCTCGAACTAAGCACTCGATATAGATTCTTTATTGCACATTTTACAGAGTGATTAACTATTCTAGACTATAACTAATATATACAGAGACCTAGAAATATGAACCATACATGCTTATGCTATGTGATTAATATGTTGAGATTCTTGAAATACTGTTCCAAGGGGGTCCAGGAAAAATAGGGTCCGATAGCTTTTTGAACGGAAAAAGCGACGCACATCTGAAGATCTTCCTTACGTTTTGAGCGAGGATGGAGTATTGATCCATCTAATCAACGTTTTGTATCCGGATGGATCTCGTTCACTAGGGAATAGAAACCGTGTTAGCTTAGCAAAATGTAATCGACTGTTAAAGACTTACCCAAAAGTAAGCGGCCTTCAAACTGCATCCTCAGGCTTTTAGGCTGGCGCATTCAGGCCACTTGGACATCCAGCGGGAAGTTGTAATTTTGAAAAAGCCAACTTCGTCGTACAACAGAGCGATAACACATGCTACTGGATCTTTTAATGATTTTCATCACAAATTTCAAAAAGCGGCTTAAACTCCAATTTGAAAAGCCTATTACTTGGCTTTTTAAAGTCGAACCATGGATTGTGGAACATTCAGTCATCAGGCAAGTTCTGTTTGAAACAACTGTTCCGCCAGTTGCTGCTCGTCTACTCGCTGGTAGTAAGATCCTAAGGGATCCCGGTAAGACGGTGTTTCTTGATCATCTTTAATAGAGGCTTGACGATCCTATTAACGATCCAAATAGTATTGGTCAACTTATGCCATCGGTATCTCAGAAGCCATTGACAAAACTGGACGCTGCAAAATATGATAAGTAACAAAGCCCGCCATTGCTGCTCTATTTCCTTGCTACCACTCACGTCCAGCTTAAGAGCCCTTCAGTTGGTTTCATTAGCAAAGCTTGAATTATTGTGTTTCATTTCATGCTTGAAATATGAAAATAAAGTCTTGAAATCAGATGATCATACATACATATGTGTTGAAAAGCTAAAGAACAAGAAAAATGTGTTGGAAAGTGTATAGGCTTGGGGGATGCAAAGCTGAAAATCGGGTGGGTGTTGGAAAACGATTTCATCGATCATCGATTATCGAATACAAAATTGTATGGTGTGTTTAGCCAACATTTTAAATAAGAAGCTCGAATTAATTTTGTTTACTTAAGTTCTTATGGAAATATCCTGTGGAGGCGTCTAATTCGCAGTACGCATTGGCAGTAAGTTGTATTTTTCTTTTTAATTTTCAACTAATTACGAGTCATTAAAAGGCATCTCAAAGTGCGGGGAAAGGTCAGCTTGCTGGCCAAAAAGACAAAAAAAATGCCCGAAATAAGGACCCAAAAGAAGCTGCCAGGAGGAGGAACTCAGGACGAGAAAAAAAGGCATTTTAATCTAGCAATTAAGGCATAATGTGCTTTAATTAACCGCTGAAATCTAAAAAGCGGGCATAAATAACCAATTGACAGTAAAGGGGCTGGGACGAGTCGAGCAGAGCAGAGGAGAGCAGAGTCTTTGCAAGGCCATAAATTGAATTACGTTAAGCCCCCGAGCATAATGGTCAAAATAACACGCAATTTGCCGGCTGCCCGCAATGGCATCTCGCCCATCCAGTCACCCAACCACCCAACCCAGCCACCCTATGAAACACCCACTTAAACCAACCGAATGGCTGGGCGAAGGCAAGGCCAAGTTGATGGGAGCCGGGACATCCATCCTGCCACCCACCCACACTTGTGTTAATTTCCGGGAAATCACTTAATCCTTTAAATATCGCCAGCTCGGCGCTCGGTGACACCTTAACCCACATTTGTGCCGCGAACCGAAATGACGCGCAAATTTACATTGCCACCCATCCGGGGCGCACTGGCCCCTCCCCCTTCTTTTTATCCACCCTGCCCCTGGCCGCCACATATTCCCCTATTTTACGGCTATGGCCCCCTCAATGTCCTTGCTCCTTTTCTCCGCGGGAGTGCCACAAAGTCATCGCATTAGTGACGCTCTGAAGATTATTTACCTAGGAATGCGTGTAAAATGACACCAATGTATTGCGACGACCTCTCACTCAGCCACCCAGTGTCACTTCCACTCCCACTCCCATTCCCAGCCTCTTACTTTCGCCCGCACTTTCTCGCCGGCCCTTTCTCCAAGCCACCAAGCGTGTTACTCTATTAAATTTAAATTAAAAATTGATTAAAATGAGCCCTGCTCCTGGGCCTTAGCCGTTTCGTACTTACCGAGGCAGTGCTTCGCCCAGCCTCGCACTCCTTTACGTTTTTTTTCACTCCCTTTTGGGGTCACCCTGGCCTCCTGGCCGAGAAGGACCTGGAAAATGGAGGTTCTTGAAAAAAGCAAATAAAATGGTTAAAAATAAATGGTAAGAATTATTTTAAAATAATTTTAGATTATTTATTATTTAGAATATTCGTTGAAATCTAAAATGATTAAAAATAAAACAAACCTTTTCTTTTTTTCAGTGATCGCACAGCTGGAGGATACACACAATTAACGTAAGCTCTTTCCCTCAAATTGTGAGCCCGGGATGGCAGGAGGTTAAGGGTTAGAGGGTTAGATGGCTGTGGATGGGGGTGGCGGACAGCGGGCCGCTCTGAATGCGTTGCGGGTAAGCGAGTCTCGCCGTTGATGTACCGTGGCCAGAGTTGGAGGCGGAGGAGCTGATGCCGGGCGACTGAGGGGCAGCATCTTTTTTCTCGGGCGGCGTTTCGGTAAATTAAATTTGTGCATTACGCAAATGAGCAGCCGCAACATGAAGGTGATGGCTATCCGAATTTGCAGCTACACTGCAAAGAAAGCGGAAAGAGTATAACAAATATTAACATTTTTAACACAGTTTTAGAATGTTAGTTATCCCTTTTCTTACTCTGTAAGCCAGCTGCAGTGCCAGGACATCTTGGCAACCCAACTCTCTTGCCTTCAGTCGGCGCCTAATGATCCTTGCCCAAGAGATTGGATG